AACTGTTTTATTCCGTGCTTTTATTGGTTTTAATGACCTGGTCTGTTTGTTTGGAGAGGAAGAGACCTCTGTGGATAATTCAGCACCTCCTGAACAATGAACGCTGAAGGAATTTTAACCAGGAGAAGTTGGAGCTGGTTGCAAACTGCAGTCCTCACTAAATCTCCCTTTATCTCACACACTGGACCTTTAACTCTCTTCTGTGAGTACAAACCACTCCACAAGAGATTCACACACAGTAATTACATTAGCAAGCAAGCTAAGGAGCTCCTATCAGACTGTTAGCAATCTGGTTAGCTTATATGAATATTTTTAGTTCATATTGTCATGACAGGGTGAATAATCCTAAATCAATGTGTGGAATTACCAGAAATAAAAGCTTATGTGCAGTGCTGGATGAAACACATTCAGCACTCTGGACAGAAAAAAATATCTTGTATTTATTACTAACAACAACAGGAGCTAACGACAAATAAACTGAAATAAATAAAATGGTGCTGACTGCTAGCGTCAGATCTTTGGATCATTTCCGCCTCATGTCCGAACAAACATACCTGTACGTTTGAAACATTTCTTCTGGCAGCGTGATCATGAAGCGGTGCAGCCATCCTCCAGGAAAATACAGCATCTGTATGCACGTCCTTCAGAAAACGGCTGAGCTCATTGTGACAGCTTCCACAGCAGCAGCGTCACGTCTGAGTATAATGGAGAGAGGTCAAAAGGAAACTGAGACAGTCTGAAAGGAGTTCATGTGCTGTTATAACAAAAAATACTGATAAAAAAATCCTTTAATTTGACCACCAAACGGCACAAACATTCAGCATGTCTGTTTCATTTCCTGGAGATAAAAGCAAAGAGCAAACGCAAAAAGAAACACAAAGAGAGATAATCTGTTTTATACCAGGCACAACACTAAACCACTGGACCTTGTGGACCAACAAGGAAACTAATTTGATTAAAGAACACAAAAACAACCCCAAAACAGTCAAACAAGCCCTCTGACCTCAAACACTGCAAAATTAATGTGTAACGATCAATGCTGTAAATGAAGAGGGCTCAGGTGTGACACAGAGACAGGACGAGGGTTCACCCAGAGGAATCCATGCTCTGTGTGTGTGTGTGTGTGTGTGACACAGTGATCAGGAATGTAGTGGTAAATAAAGGGTGTGTGAACTCTGGGTAACGAGCCACAGCTATGCTCGTCATCCCTCCCAGCTCTGTGATCTTCACGTCTCTGTAATTAACCAAAACTACAAACTGCTATTTACACAGACCTAGATTAATGTGGAGGCAAATAGATTCAGTAAATATTGCTCAGAAATGTCAAGCAAAAAGAAATAAATCTTCTAACAGACTGTTATTAAGCGCTTTAATGTCCACACCAAGACATAAAGCAACGGGAGAGTCTTTGTGTCTTTTTTATTTTCTTGGAGCAATAATAACTTCTTTTTTCCTTTGAACAGACCATAATTTATTTTTTAAATATAAACTGCTACCAAATGGTTCAGAAGTCACTTCATGCTATTTGTGACACAAAAAGAAAAAAAAAATCAAAATTACACATCATATAGGCTACTGTAATAATGCCAAACATAAATATACCAACATATAGGCTATATAGACCCTTTTACTGTTAGTAAACAGTGACGTTTTTGGTGGGCGGGGCTTAGCTGGAGGCAAAACAGTTTTCCACAGACATTAGCTAATGCTAGCTAGCAACTTCTGTTGTCTTGTTTTAGACAGTGGAGTAAGATGATGTGAGTGGTGCGTTCAGAAACACTCACTCTGAGTGTGGGAGCGCACTCTGACACAAACTGGAACGTTGATAAATTGGGAGCGCTGTCTGAATGTAGCGTTGGGTTATCCAGAGCAGCGCACTCTCAGAGTGGCAGAGCGCACTCTGGACACTCTGTCTGTGGAGACGGAGCAGCAGAGCGCCGAGCGGAGTGAATGTGTGATTAACTTAACCGTTGGTTCATTCATGTAGAAATATAACGCTGCGTTTCTTCCACCAACAGGGCTCTCATTTTAGTGTAGAGCGTCAGACTGAATTTACCAACGCACCAT